CTTGCTTGCCGCCCCGCCCCGCGCCGCGCTGGGCCCCTGCCCGAGTCCGGGGGAGCTTCCGCGCGTGGAAGATCCCCCTCCTTTTGGGTTCCGGGTGCTCGCCAAGGTTTTCGTGGCTGGCGAACTGCCGCGGGCGGGGTTTCCACCCGCGAGCACGTCCAGCTGCTGGACCTCGACCGCCGAACTCCCCAGCCGCCCAAGGTTACGTGGCGTCAGGTGGCGGCCGTGTGCGCAGACCCTTTCGGCGTCAGTGTGGTTGGTCGCGCCGTCCGCCAGATGTTAGACTGGGTCTGGCATTTTCATCCGCCCATCGAGTCCCTCCCAAGGGTGTTGCTGGACGGCGCTGGAGGTGCCGGCACAGGCTGGAAGCTGTTCCGAGTAAAGCTGCCTTTCGCAGTGGTGATTTTGTCCATGCTGATGGTCTTCAAGGGGTGCTCCAGATGTTTTGGGATGGGACTCTCTTTGCTTTCTTTTGCCAGAGACGTTCTATTTGCAGGTCTCTGTATCTTGCGATTTTCTCCAGTTCTTTCTCTTCTCTTCTCTTCTCTCTCCTCTTCTCTTCTCCTGTCTCCAGGTATTGCAGTGTCCATCGTCATCATCATCATCATCATCATCATCACCACCACCACCACCACCACCATCCAAATGTAATATAGCCAATGGATTCAATGAATGAATAAAGTTTGGATCTCCCTCTGGAAGGCTTCCACCTGTTGCTTCTTGTCCTGCCTTCGGGCAGGATGGAGAATACGTCCACGGGCTCTTTTCTGTGACAGCCCTTCATGCGTCCCAAGACTGCTATCCCATCTCCCCTCCCCTATTCTTTGTCAGGCTAAACATGTCCTGAGCATAGCCCCAAGCCCCTCACCACCCTTTCGCTCTTCTCTGCCCTCTTTCCGGCTCCTCAGGATCCTTCCAGTGCTGGGGGGACCAGAACTGGGCCCAGGATTCCCGCTGCGGTCTGACCAGCGCACCAGTGAGCCTCCCTCCGTACCTCTGGGGATGCAGCCCATAACTGCATTGGCTCTTCTGACAGCTGCAAGACCGACCGAGCAGGGCAGGACAAGGACCCGGGAGGCTGCGCCCGAGCTGGATCCCTGGGCAGATGGGAACTGTGTCACCTATGCGGTGACACCCGAGGGGAGGCGCTGGGAAAAGAGCCCTCCGAACCGGTCGCTGGGCTCGGCCTTCAGCAAAGCATCCGTCAGTCATTCCGATGAGCAAGGAAGGGAATGGCTGGGCCGGATGCAAGTGGAGAGGCAGCGTGCTCAAAAGTTGTGCTCCTTGGCGGTGCCTGGCGAGGGAGGTACCAAGCGAATCACCACAAGGATCGGTCCTGGGGCCTTACGGTCTCTTCTTAGGAGTGACTTGGAGGAAGAGGGGAAGCGGGGTGCTTATCAAATTTGCAGATAACCCAATATTGGGTGGGATAGTTAATACCCTAGAAGACAGAAATAAAATTCCATCAGTTAGAGAAATTTGCTGAAAGTAACAAAATTAAATTTTAACAGAAACAAGTGCAAAGGTCTTCCCTTGGGAAACAAACATGAAATGCAGGATGGAGATCCTTGGCTTGGTAGTGGCGCTTGTGAAAAAGACATGGAAATGGAGATGGAGAGCCAGCTGGGTCTCCTGGTGAAGGCCCCAGGCTAGAAACCAGGAGGGGCTGAGTTCTCGTCCCACCTGAGGCATGAAACCCGGCTGGGGGACTTTGGGCCAGTCCCTCTCTCTCAGCCCAACCCACTTCACAGGGTTCTTGTTGTGGGGGGGGAAGAGGAGGAGGAGGGAGGAGGGAGGAGGGAGGAGGATTAGGTATGTTCGCTGCCTTGAGTTATTTATAAAAACAATAAAGGTGGGATAAAACATCTTTAAAAAAAACAAAACAGCCAGGCAGTCCTCGGGTTAGTAGGATAATTGGGACCGGAATTTCCATTGCTAAGTGATGTGGTTGTAAAGCGCGATGTCATGTGACAGCATTGCTTACTAACGGCAGTTCCAGTTGCCTCATAACCCAGAGACCTTGCAGGTCGTTAAGAGGACCTCACTTGACCGGAGGCCTAGGCAAGCAGGCCGGCAGGCGAGAGCTGCGGGTGGCTGAGTGCCACAGGTGGGCGCTATGGAGCATGGGTGGGGGAGCGCTACAGAGTATGAGATCCCTGGGATCTCATATTCTGTAGTGGGGCTCCTTGGGAGAAAAAGTGATGGGAGCAATTTATAGGAGCAACTTGGTGACCTTCTCTGCCAGCTTTCCCATTGACTTTGCTTGTGGGAAGCCAGCAGGGAAGGTCGCAAACGGCGATCACATGACTGCGGCTTGCTGCATTGTCATAATCACAAGCCAGGCACTGAAGCGTCCGGATCACTATCGTGTGACAGTGGGGACGTTGCGACAGCCGGAACTCCAAGGACTCGTCATAAGTCCCCCTCGTTCAGTGCCTTCATAACTTTGAATGGTTGCTGAACAAGTGGTCATAACCTGAGGACTACCTGTATTTTGCACACTGAATATGAATCAGTTATTTTAGGCTGTATCAACAGAAATACTTTATAAATCACAGCAAGTAATGCAACTTTATTTTGCTGTGGTCAGACCCCACCTCCAGTACTGTATTCAGTCATGCGCAATACCGTTTAAGAGAAGTGGGAGTTGGCTTAAACAAGGGCAATGAGGTTGAATGAGGAACAGAAACCCATGACTATGCAGAACGATGGAAAACCCCTTGGGAAGGGAATGCAGGATACAAGGACCTTCCAAGACCCAAACAGAAAGAAGACCAAGGCCTGTCTTCTCTCATTCTGGCATGCAAGATACAGATTAATGAATTTAAATTAAAGACAGATTCCAGTTGACAAACTGCTTGGGAGTAGTAATGAAAGAGGGTGAGCACTCTCATTTCCTGCTTTTGAACACGCAGAAATATTTTTTTCCGCAGCGGTAAAACATTACATTGGATTGTTAGAAGGTTGGTGCATGTAGACATTTTTATATATTAAGACATTTAGATGTTTAA